GGGTTCAGGGAGAAATTGAAAGAACGCATTCAGTTGCTGCTGGGAATACGGAAAAGAAATAGAATGAACCACTTTACTTCGCTACCTTTGTGCATTTCTTATGTCGCTGTCGAGTTTGAGACTATTTTAGAGCGATTCCAGTAAGTTTTATATGACTTCACTGTTTCCTCTCGATATATAATACATAGAGAGAAAACAGTTAACGAGGAGTGAAACCAGAACTTGTAATCGCTCGACAACACATGCGAAATACAAAAGAAGGCAAAGAAAGGCGTTTCTTCTCTATCGTGTTTCCAGCAACTGAATACGCTCGTTACAATCCCATATAATACTCAGACGTTTCGGCTATAAACTCTACAGCCTTCATCACTTTTACGAAAGCTTGACGTTATTACGCGTGATTTAAATATTTTGACCAGACGTTACGCGAGTTCTACACGCGTGACTACAAGGAATGGCTCCCACATCGAAGCTTTCATGAAAGTTGCTGAACACAGATGGGTTTCCCTGAAAATTATCACTAATAGTAAACCTAACAGCAATATATACTTTTTTTCATTTTCTAAAGAATACATTAACTGAATCACACTGTTACTAATTTGACGCCTTAACCAGCAAGGCTCTAAATAATTCTCTACACGCTACAGCACAGTCTAACAGTGCAAGCAACAGTGCAATAAAATAACAATGTATATCTAAATGAACATGATACAAATATACTCATATAAATATCGTGACGACTATTGTGTCAAGAGCAGGAGGGCAAAAGGTAACAACTCAAATTAGCTGGCGCGTCCTGTAGACTCTGCTTAGGAAGGCTATGGGAAGCACAGAGTGTACGACCAAGTAAAAATAAATTGTCAATGTCTCTGACTATTTGTCTATGTCTACGTGTACTTATTAACAAGAGCACTATGTTCTACCAGTCTGCTCAGAAAAAAAGAAGCATTATAAGAGGAACACGTGGCCTGGGAGATGAATTACCTTGTTCTTACTAATTTTCGCGTGTACTTAATTTCGTGAGGATTTGGGAGATGTCATTCACGAGTATTATACTTGTCGCGATCGATGCCAGGGGAAAAAAAAAACACTATTCACAAGCAGATTTAATTTCGCGGTTTTGCAATTGCCTTAATCGCCCAAAATCCTGATTCACTACAAATGCAGAATTTGATGACTGTAATTAAGAGGTTTTGGCGGATTTACAAACAGCAGATAACAGAGAATCGGACAAGGAGTGCTAACTTGTTGAAGGCAAGACCATAAAGACTGTATATTTTCAAGAACAGAACTAAATTGAACAATAAATACCAATGTGCCCGTGACTTGGAAATTTAAAGCCATGTATTGTCTGTCTTACATGGTTTGATATTGAATTTCGGGAGTTTAATTTTGGCACTCACTTTCTTTTCGAGAGTTTTCGCGATTTTTCGCAAAATGCGAAAATCGCGAAATTTAGTACAATGCGAAAATTGTAAGAATAAATTTTACAAATGTATTTCTATAGTACGTAGGAATAAAGATCATCACCATACGTGGCATAAAACGTTTTACTGCTGTACATGGATTGTATGGCTATTGAGGCTACGCATGTAATTAAATATCAGTGGTAGTTGATCAAATGCATTTTAGGCTAACAAGCGAATTTAAATGTACATGTATTTAACGTATACCACTGAAAACCTAATGCATTGTTTTACAGGCATTACCTAACGTTTGTGCGAAGAGATGAGATGAGAATACATGACCTTTTGACAACAAATAATGAATCAATTTATAATGTAATTAAATATTGAATGAATGTATACAGTACACAAGTTTCTAAATAAATGCATATGCATTGTATAAATACCAATAAAATGATAAAGAAGAAACATACAGGAGGTGCAATAAAATATTACATTTCTCAAACGAGATAAATAATATCTAACGGACAAAAACACTCTCAGGAACATTTAAATAACGACAACTTGTAAAATATTAGCAGTGTTAAAAATATTCTTTTAACAGCTGCTTTTACCTTATTTAAAATGTGTGATCTCCTAACGTAAATTTGAGCTAAAATAGAAGAATAACTCAAATTTGGTAAAACTTGGCATTTTTCAGAAACAAAGAAGACTATAACTGCAACAGAGTGCACGCATTGGTTTTTCTTAAGGGAGGGAAACAACTGATCCAGAGAAAAACCCTACTAACTGGGACGGGAACCAACAACGAACTAAACCCACATATGGCACCAGGCCGAAATTGAACTTGAACAACATTGGTGGAAGGCAAATAAATGTACTACCAGCTACACTATCACTACCCTCCCCTAAATAGCTTCTATTAGTTATTGTATAGTTGTAGTTGCAAGACTCACGAGTTAGAGTAAAATATCAATTCATTTGTTGTCAGCATTGCACTCATGGTTATGCATGTAAAGTCCCTGATATGTACTGGTAGAGAGTCATGCCAGCAGAATTAAACCCACCGCTCTGATTGGTTGTTGTTTGGAGGCAGCAGGGATTCCAGTGAATTATAAGTGGCATCTCCTGAAGTCATGTCTGTAGACTCAGGTTCTTCATAAATTCCAGGTTGCTGCAAATAGGGATAGACAAAGAGAATTAGTTTAATCCATTACCATGAAAGAGAAAGGATGTGAGTTGCTAACATCAAATTATCTCCTCACTTATTTAATTATCTTCAAAAGATTCTAACATCACTAGTCAAGAATTCTCCCAGAGGGGTGGGGTGGGGGGNGGGAGAACTACCTTTTATGGGCTATCTAGGTATGCACGGGACCAAAGGGTAATTGGTACATGTATTTGAGCCAGTTTGATCTGAAATATGTTTTGTTTTTTTAAGAAGATACTCTTTTATCATTTCAAGAACTTAGCATTTAAGATGTATATTCATTTGACAAATTGACTTCAGTTTTCCATGCGTCTGCCCTGTTATTGATCATGAATTTCATCATAGCATTGTCAAAGTAGCTGTGGATCGGCCGCAGGTTACATGTACTTCGACAATGTAATGACGAAATTCATCATCAATAACAGGACAGACACATGAAAAACTGACATCAATTTGTTTTTTACAATATTTAACAAATTGTCAAATTGCCCTCTCTTGCTTGTCACATCAACATTGCATAAATCATAAATTCATGTGCCTGTCCACTTACTGACAACGAAAATTAGCCAATTAGCCTGCGAGATTATTTCTGCAGTTATTGCAAAAACTGTATTTGATAGGTTTTAATTTAATGGTTTGTCTTGTATAGGGTTTTGACCTTTTTGATGGACCATGCTTACGGCTTACTTATTAATAACATATTATTTATAAAATAAATGAATGAATAAATAATAATAATAAAGTTTTTTGGGTACATTTAGAAAACTCAATCTGCTTACATTACTATATATTGAGAAAAAAAAAAATAAACAAAACATACCAAATCTCCTATCACATTGCAGAGTGCCTGATGGTTTTTTGACCTGTTGAAAAAAAATCAAAATTCAAGATAAGGTCCCATGATAAGTGAATAATATTTAAAGCCCCCAGTGTAACTGAGGGTTTTCAATAACATTATCAAACATGCAAAAGTAGCTCATCAAGTGCATTATATATACAGTACCTTGTGAGAGACAACTGTGAGATCCAAAATTAACATGAAAAAAATTAACAACATAATATGGCATTGAAGCCCCCTCCACTTTTACATGTATTCAACACCTGAGTCATCTCATACTTTTTCATTGAACAGAGCACAAATACATGTAAAGGGTATCACCTTGGTGTAAATGAGCTGTAAAGTCCAATGGTAACAACCCATAGGTCTTTTGGATTTAGCAGCCTTTTACTGCCTCTACTTTCAAAAGGTTCCTATTGAGAGGGGGGGGGGTTATGTTGGGTGGGAAAACCTTCAACTGAACATACATGATTTAGTCCATTTTAATGCACCTACATTGTAATTGTGTCAATTGTTTGTACATATATCCCTGCACTAAAGGAAGAGATCAAAGGATGGAATTTGAATTTTACATCAGGATACACTTTCCATCTAGTTTTCTCCACTGTTGTTTTACATATTATGTATTTTCCACTTACAATAAGATTTGCTAATCAAGTAAATTGTTAGGGATCGAGGGATTAGAACTTTGTTTTATCCAGGTCTTAACAGCATGTGGATTTGTACAAGATGCTCATGAAAATTAGTAATTTAAAACATGTCACCTCCTCTTCTTGTTGATGACTGCATAGATAACAGCTACAATCAAAACAGAGACTGAGACACCAACAGCAATTGCTGGCCATTTAGCACTCTTTGAGTCCGAGGGAGTTCCTGATGATGTACCTATGAAAAAGTGTTAAAAAAAGAATTATAATATAATTAATGTAATATGTCCTTCACGAGGATCATAATCACAATAATAAAAAAGGCTAAGTGACCATGCTATGTCCAGTTAATTTAAAAGTATGGAGAGCACATGTTAAAAGAAGTGTCAACTAAATAGGGTTGGTTGGGGAGCTGAGTGTGAAGTTTGAATCCATCATTATCTATTGTTAATTTTACATGCTATAACATACAGCTGTAGCCAGGCCAGTTGAAACAGAACTGTACACCGACCACTACTCACAGGAGAAAACATTTTTCTGGCAATGCAAACTAAGCTAACTAACATTAACTAACACGGGTATGCAACATTGGATAATGACATGCGCTTACGTACAGTGTATAAACTAGGAGTTTGATGGTGCGGCTTTAATTTGCTAGCTACTGTATTTTTACTTCCACCACCTTTGGTTTACTCCAAATTGAAACCAATCAAAGTCTAATTAAGAATATACAATCTGCCACTGACCATACCTGGAACTCTCAAAGATTCACAAACATCACAGCCTAATGTTTGTGCAATGTCTGGACCACATCCACCATTTGAACAGAACTGCACTTTAGCAATGTGCCTAGAGTGGATGGTGAGGTTTCTGATAGTGAGTGTCTCTAATGAGCCATTGTAATTAGGCTCCAGTGGAACAGCAAAGACAGTGGTAGGAACAGGAGATGACTGATTGAATATCCTGATTACAGAGGTTTTCGGAATGCCATTCATTATTAAGTTCTTACTTGCCTGTAAGAATAAAAAGGGAAACAGAACATTACTTTCAAGGAGATGACTTTAGGTTAGCTTTTATTGATACCAGGTTAACTTTTTTATTGAATTTTCATTGAATTTTTTAATATTTACTTTAACACCTTTTGTTATTTTTCAAAACCATTGTAAATTTATGACTTTTATGATTACAGTTCAACCCCACCCTCGGGAAAATGGATAGTGGCTGCTAAAAAGGGGTTGGCCACTTAACAGAGGTAAAAACAATAGAAAAGCCCCCATCAGGACTTTGATTATAACTGGCCAACTAATAAGAGTGGCCATTTAATAGGTGGCCGCTTAATAGGAGTTGGACTGTAGTTTTAAATCATTTAAAGCACACTCTGATCATATCATGGAAAGTTGCACTATATAAATTTTTTAATATTACAATTGTGGGGAACCCCTATAAAGCAGCAAGTTATTAGGCAGCCAGTAATCAAAGTTCNCCCCCCGCCCCCCCTTCCTTTATTAAGAGGCCACCATCTATTTCCCCAAGGATGGCCGTTTAATAGGGGTTGAAATGCACCACTTGTATATTGGTGACACGCATGAAAACATTTTAAAACTTGAGCCTAAGGGCAAAATCAAATCTAAACTAGTAAAATCTAGTGAATATTAATTAAGCAACTAAAACTTGACTTAACAATTGAGTACCAGTACTGGTACCAGGGCAGCGGCACAAAATGGTGTACATGTAGTGCATGTAGTTGTGTTCAGACACTGGGTAATCCAAGTACCCATAATTTACGCCGAGTTCAAACATTAGAGCCCAGCAAGAATCATACTTTTGCACACAATTGTGAACATAGCCTAATTATTTTCCCCCATTCAACATGTCCTTGCCATGATCCTAGCATTCATTCTAGACTAAGTCAATAGCAATGTACCAATGCTCAGTGTCACAATACAGTAATGTCTTGCACCAAGCTATAGCTAGGGAGCTGACAGTTTTCAATGAAAGATCAAAAACAGTCCTCTTAATGTCTTAGAATCTTTAAAGGTACAAGTACATGTAGCAAATTTATTCATCCCTTTGTAATGTAGTTCTTTGTCACTACATCGAACTTAAAGACAAATGATGTAGATCCTTACATAATTATTTACTATTTATATACATGTAGTACAATGACACCTTCCATTTCAGGATGACGGTGAAGTTTGAGTCATCACAAAATGCCTGACATGGCTCTAGCAAGGGATGCTCACTTGGCTCTGAGAAAACACACAAACATGGTGATTGTCAAACCCTATTCATGTATCAAAGTCAAAGTTTTTATTTATTTTTCCATATTAACCTTATTCATGCATCAAACCAGACCAGTGAGTTTTAATTTTCAATGGACTTGACTTTTTTATTCATGTATCACGTCTTTGATGCAGACAATATTCAAACATACAAAATTGCCTGCTCTGGCTTAATGTGCAGCTGCCATATTAATCCCAGACAAGTGTGTTCATGTTAATTTTCTCTTTATTTTTTTCCTCTTCATTCTAATTTCAGGTTGGGTTTTAAGTTTAAGCTTGGGAGGGGTTCAATACTAAAGGCCTTGTAGGGGAATTGTGTCCTTTTGTCTAATTTGGACTACCTACCACTTAACAAAGCTGTAAATAAATAATAAACAAATATTAAATAGATTGTATGTAGATTGTCAGTCCCAAAAACATGACAGGCTACAATCTTTTTCAATAAAAAGGAAAGACCCCAATCCTTCCCCTAGATCTGTTGAACTTACTTTCTAATCACAGATTATTGATTAATAGCTATTGGAATAGTAAGTACTGTACCTTCAGGCAATGTACGGGTAAAAACTGGCCCTCCTGGAATGTGATGGTCATCACCACAAGTGCATGCTGCTCTATTTACTGAAATACGTAACAACTGAAGCCCGCCACAGATAGTCACAGAATACTTCCCCCATGGATTTAAATTGATAAAGTTGAACATCCTATTTCCAGACTTAATCTGAAAGACAAAATAATTTATTAAATAAAAATTCAAAACTCTCATAATTTATACATGTATACAGATTGTACACGTTCACAAATATGCCAGTCTTAGCTTTCAAGTATTATTTATAACCAATAAATACTTCTAAATTGCAGCCTGGAACATGCTCATTAGTCTAATTACCTCAAAGATATTATTTGAACATTTCCCAAACTGATCCCGCAAAATTAGTTTATATTTCATCTCGGATCCCTTTGGTTTTATTCCGTCTGGGTGTTCCCACTGAACAGTAAGTTGTTTCTTTGCTGTTGCTACAAGCTGTATATTCTTTGGTGGCGGAAATACTGTGGAAAAGACCAAATAATTAATGCCTACTGTACTACATTATAAAATCTAATAAGGCACTCTGAGCCCGGAAAGAAATACCATTAAGTCCCTGTGGTGAATTTGTTTTGTTAATGTAATACAAATATGACTGGAAGTAACCATTTATTAATTGAGTATTAAATGTCCAGTCTTTGCATTTGGATTGCAGGTACATGAAAATATGAACATGTACCTCGATCTTTGCATGTTCATTAATTTTAATTACTGGTACATCAATTAAACAAATTAAATTACAGGTAACTTCAGTACTTGTTAGTTTTGAAATGCCGATCACTTGTCAATTTCCATTGAAACTTCCTACTGATTTATTATCAGTTATTATTCAAGCCAAGTACGTGATTTCTAAATCAAAGCTTCCATAAAATCGTGATTTTCACACGTATGTAAGAGTTCTGGAATTTTTGCGGGCTAGGAAGTTGTCTTTATTGTGGGCGCAACGTTTTTCGCAATGCCCTAGTTTTTTCACATAGCACTGGCTATAAAAGACGACGTGCAACTCCTTTTAGTCAGAGATTGTTAGTGAAGTTACACCGCTACCGTGCTACGATCAGAGGATCCAAGTTACTGCTATTTCAAGTGTATTTCGCTGTCTCTCTGCCACCTTTTCGTGCGAGTCATCAACCAAAGTATGTAAGTTCTTATTGTTGTCAGTAGTCATTTGCTAAGTCGTGAATTGTTAGTCTTTTCTTTGTCACGAAAAGATTTCATTTTGTTTAATATCTAAGTTTTGTTGAAATCGCTTTCACCAGGTCTATTATTGCTGAGGCTTATTGTCAAATACTTTATCAGTCTAATTGTCATATGATTACCAAATTGCGACTCTTTCTCTTCTTTCACACTATATTTAGCTATTTTGCAAGACAGCCATTGATGTCTTCATTTGTTACAATAAGAGTTGTTATCATCTCAGTTTTATTAGTTTCAAGTATCAATTGTCACGTCTATTTGTTTCACACTATGATCTTGTTAGTTTATTATGATTGTTCTATTCTGTTAGATTTATTTTTATGCCTGATCTAAGTAGGATGTATTCTTAACTATGGTCTTTCAATCAGTTTGAACCTACTTATACGACTACTACTCCTATTTGTATCTGCTACCACTACTTGTAATCTACTGGTTTTCGCTATTTCTTCAGTCGCTACCTATTGTGAACTAGACCTATGGACTTGATCTGTCATTAAATCAGTTTGAATCTACCAAGTGGAGTCTGAATCACTTATCAACTCGCACCATGCTACCCTGTAGTTGTTTAAGATTTGAGTAAGAAGTAACCTCTAGAATCTTTACAACTACAGTACTCACAGATTTCATATTTGACACTGCGCTCCATACAGATATGCGCAAAGCCAAAAGATGTGTTTACCCTTAGGCACAAACACAAATCATGGTCCTTTGAAATCCTCATATGAGCACACTCCTTAGTGCTGTTACAAATAGTACAGCTTAAAACCTTGGATGAACTTGATAACTGATTTTCCATTATATGGCAACCATCAACTGGGCTTAGATCTACTACAGCCATGGAACAATTTGCATTGAAACACATGAATGGACATGTCAAGTTGTAAAACAAGTCATACTGGATGGTTCCTTTTATAGGTATGCTTTCCATGGATGCAGTCGCAGATGTGATATTAGGCCAACCAAAAACAGCCAGTTTAGGTTTCTTGGGAGTGGGAATTTTGCCATCTCCTGAAAATGAAATAAATCATGACATCAAATACACCAGCCAGGAATAACCTACAAGATATACACTTTTAAGGTGTTTCCAGCAATTTCTAAGAGTGGATTTTGATGGGTTATTATAACCACTCCATATTGGTTGATACCACAATCATGGTATCACAAAACTGCCCAATCATTGGTGAACATTTTGGTGTCAATTTCATGGCACAATGGGTTACCATAGCAACAGTACTGACATGCTTAAAGCACCATGCTATTCATGTTAGCTTTAAGTTCTTATAACTTAAAAACGAGCTTGGTGACCCTCATTTATCAATTATTGAATTGTGAAAAGTATTGATAAGACGCAAAGTTCAAAAAATTCTGTAGAGAGGATTTAGAGCTAACTTCAATTGTTGGAAATGATCATAAATGTAATTTGCAGTCTTTGAAACCTCATTACCTAGCATGGAATGATCTGCAAAACAACTGAATAATAAATATACATTTAAATACAGCAAGAAATAACAGCAAGTTGTGCTAAAAATATACTTGCGGTGAGACTGGGGGGAGGTTCGTCGAAACTCATAAGCGCATCTATCCCAACTCGCCTCCCCCCCTTCCCCCATCCCTCCCCCCACCCCCCGCCGCTCCCGCTACGCCAGTCCTTGCTTCGATTGTCTGGCATGGAATGATCTGCAAAGCAGCCAAACGGGCCTCGGGAGTCAATGCACTCTTGTTTTGCTCCTTCAAGAGCTTAGATACCCTTTAGAACCGCAAACAAACAAGCTCCAGCTTATTCGCTGTTAGATGTACTCAATAATGAAACGTACGAAACCGAAAATGTAAGCTTAAGTTGAGCAGGGGGCTTATTTCCGCCATCTTTTGCAATATTGTAAGGTGATGACGAGGAACGCACGCAATACTCGTCAATCTGCTGACCTTTTGGCAGAAATTCAATATATGAAATCGGATCATCTTCGGCATTAACAGGCGAGTCGACCTCGACGCATAGCTAAGGCGCCAAGGAAGTCATCAGTTGTTCTTTTCAAATTAGAAAGTTCCAGCGCTTACCTGAGACATGATATATTGTACATGTAGCTGGCAGCAAAACTAGCACATGAATTAGTCCATGGAATTCAAGCATGCTTTTGGGGCACAGACCAAAACTCGCCAAAGAATTTGCTAAAAAACATATGGCTCTTCCACAGCTCGCTTTCTTCGAAGACCGGATGTTAAAGTTTTCCGAGAATTTTCTTGCATCTGATTGGTTGTTGAACTGAACAAACATGGCGGGTGTGTGAGCTCGAAGCCTGTGGCTTTTGGGAGCAAATTATGCTAATGAACATGCTGGCAAGCGCTCTTTTATTCTTATTTATTGGACCGTTTAAACATGTAAGCAGTGGAGAAACAAAAGAGGCAGGTGGGAAAGCATTGTTTGTTACAAGTTAGTGTTGTTTGTCTGGGCGTCTGCTTGCAAAGGAATGTTCAATGTGTTGCGCGCGTGAGCTTCTTACGCACAGAAGCGGAAGTAATCTTTCCTTGTGCAAAATGGATGTTTCATTCTTCTTCACTGTGACATAGTTCTTTCTGATTGTCAATTGCTGAAGTCTGCAAACTTGGAACGTGAATTAGATTATTTCGCAAATTCAATCTGGTTGGATACGACGGTTAATTAATGTTGGTCTAGCTAAGTAGTTGCGTGTCAATGAGTTGTCTTTTGGCACATGCCGTTTTACCTGCAGAGCTTTAGACTGCTCGTACAGGGTGGTAAGTTGGACAGATAAATAGAGGATAAGACAAATGTGTGAGTTGGCACAAAGATTAGAATTGGATGGACGTCCATAAATAAAACTAAAAGGTCACGTTGTGATCAGTTGAACAAGACTTGAGAAACTCATGACTTCCAATTGACAGCATGTGTACATGTAAGTTTATGCAGTGAAACCAGTATCGTACTTGTGTTAAGCCTTGTAAAGAGAGTTGCAAGTAGAACTTGGCAGTAACTCTATTTGAGCGTTTGGTCACTGAACTGGCTAAATCGCACAAAATGGAATTCAATCATCTGTAAATTGAATTTGATTTAATGTGTTGGACAAAATCGACCGAAATCGAACTAAATGCTAATTAAATTTTTTCTGGACTCTTGATTGGTCAAAGAAACGTTTTGCGACATTTCAGAACAGATACATCCTGTGGCTGACTCTTATAAATTTGGCTCAATTTTTGCTGTTCTCTTTTGTCCATTGCCCTTGGCTCTCATATTTACGCACTATTTATATTTTCTCACTCAGTATGCCTCAATCAGCACATGTACTTTTGTTATAGTGTTGTTTTAAATTAAGACCTCTTCATATTTATTGATGTCACGCTATTCTGATTTTTTCAAAGGAAAAAATAAACCTCACCACTTGATTTATTATCAGTGGGGAATTCAGTAAAATAATAAAATTATGCGGAGTTTCATGATAATCGATACATTGCAAATGGATGGAAATATGGGACCCCAAACTTGCCAATTTTTAACAAAGACATGATTGTATGCCAAGGGGTAAGCACTAGCCCCATGAGATACATTTCTTTATTATAATTATAATGTAAAATTAGGCAAGTTTGGAGTCCCATGTTACCCTGCATATATCAGCTGAAAGAAAAAAATCTAATTTATTCCTAAGAAAAAGACAAGAAATAATATTGTTGATATTGCATGATTGTTGTCCATTAGTGGTACGTCAAGTCAGTTTATTGTTTTCAAGTTGTGCAAAAAAGTTCTTGCATTGTGTTAATGTTATATTAGTGTATGAGGCAGTCTCACCTGTCAACGCTGTTCTTTACTAATTAAATCCATTATCAATCCTTATTCCCCCGTGCACAATTATTATTATTTGTTTCTCATTGGTACAGTGTATTTCCCAAGCAAGTACACTTGCAAGAAAATTTGCAAGGTCATTAACTTTGCAAGCTAGCTTCCACTCAAGTTGCATTCAAGTAAAACAATTGAATAAATTAAGTCATGTCAATCAGAGCTGATAACTTTAGGTACATGATTTATGGTATTCATATGATTCTATTATGTGTGCATGCACTAGCTGATATACAGTCTTTATATTTTTTTTTGTGCTTCACTAATTGCCTTTTTTTAGATTACTGGTTGGTTACATTACTGTTAACTTTCTGCAGTAAACATAATTATTTGCGTTTTGTTTCAGGTGTATCCACCTCACCAGTGAAGGAAGTGTACATTGCTGTCAATGATACACTTGAACTAAACTGTTCTATCAATGCAACAATTCATAATATTCACCCAACACAGCTGGGATGGAAACATCATGGACTGATACTTATTAACTTCACATGTATACTCAATAACAACACAATTCAACTGAGGAAAAACCACACTCAGTATGACGATGCAGGAGTTTATGAATGTGGATTGTTCAATTCTGCAAAGTTTCAGTCTGTACAGAAAATTGTGGTCGTGGTTGGAGGTATGTTGTTGTGATTTAATCTACTAAGTTCGTTACATTAAATAAATTTGTAAGAAGAGGCCTTTTGTAAATTAAAGCCCTGTGTTGCATTCACCGTCAGTGCTGTTGTAATATCTCATCATTATGTGAGTGCTTATGATGATAGCGGTGCATCTGGTATATTGATTAAGACTTACATCAACATCACTGCGCATTTGAAGATTGCCGAGAACACTGGAAATAAAATCCTGCAGAGAATACACACATGTACTTTAGAATTCTGAAAGAAACAGCCTCCATTAGTGTCAGATTTAGCAGGCAAAAGGGGTCGCTACTTTCAACTTTTGGGCGGCCTTTACTTTCAGATGGTTAAAAATCGTTTGTGTTTTTTAGACAAAGCAGACGATTATCATGAAATTAAAAGTTTTGTTTATGTATGGTACTAATTGTATATTAACTCAGTACCCACATAAACAAATAAGGTTGTATAACAAAAAGGCCCTTAATGTTGGTACTGTAGGGCGAAAGTATAATTGTTGCATTATATCGCAATGTTACTAAATGACACTGTATCATTTGACCCTGCTGCCAGACAAGTACAGCTTATAAATATTAGTATAAATTATTATTAAATGTTAGTTTCAAGGTAAATTCAGTTAAGTTCGATATAAAACCACAAATTAATAGCTCTTTAATTTGCTCAGTCCTGCAGTCAGGCTGATCCATGTGTGTGATGTACACTTGAGTTTCAAAGGGCTGCAACTTTCGGGTGGGCTGTTACTTTCGGACTTCAATAGGAAGGTGAAAAATTAATGTTATTTTCAGGTGCCATCATTTTTTTTTTGGGTGGGGGGGGGGGGGGGATTTTTGTTACACACGTCCACTTCCAATGGTGAAAATGTTACCTAAATTATCTAAATTAATTTATGCACAGAATCTGCATAATTGTGTCACTGCATCCGTATAAGTAACTACATGTTCTTCTACTGGTTCCGTTGTATATTGTCGCTACAATCCGGGTTTTTTCGCATGCCCTCAATTGAAATTCTGCAAAACATACGAAGGTTTCCCAAAGTCGCCTAGCACCTCTCTGCTCCGCAAAGGTTCGAACGTTCTTTATAGAAATTCGCTGTTTCAAGTGAGTGCAGGCGTAAAGTGAAATGAATCAATCGGCGAACGCGCCTTCCTCCGTCGCCTTTCACATAGCCCCGCGCCTGCAATCACGTCGCTCAGCGTATTCTCCCCACCCGAATAAAACCCTTGAGGCTCTGCGAAGAAGAGAGGCCTCCGTTGCCTCGTTGGCGCAGACAGATTTTCGAGTGCTCGCCTGCGCCATCAGGTAGAAAGCAAGCTACAGCTTACGGACTCTGAGGCGGTGCTGATGCTGGAACACTTTGTAACCAAGGATACGAATGCCCTGGAGGTGGATACTGTGGAACTGTTTCCTGTCCAGGGTAGGGTGGTGGAGTTTCTGATGGATATGGGTATGCTGGCGGCGGCGAAGATGGGTTAGTTGGAGCTGGAACATAACCCACTGGAGGGGGTGGGTAGGGATTTGCTGCTGGTTGCTGAATAGGAATGGAAGGAGGATGTTGAATCACTCCTGGTTGTGTAGTATGGGATGCTGAGGTCGTGCCAGTCATTGGCATTCCAACACCAGCTGCTCTACTGGACGTCTTCTTATGCTTTGCAATAAACACGATACAGCATACAAGCCCGATAAAGACCACCACACCGACAGCAACGCCTATTATCAATGCCAACTTAGACGCTAAAGTTGAATAAAAATGAACAACTAAATGAGCATAGATCGAACTAAATTAGCACAGGTAATCCTACGACTGCCAGTGCAATTAAAGATTTACCCTCTCGAAACTGAACGAGCCTTTGCTCGAGCTTTCATACTACTATTCATACTTATTATTCATACTCTGACTCATTAATTAAATGATTGGGAAAATTACGAACGCGCACAAATTTATTTGAATTGTAGCGCAAATGCTTTTTAAAAATACGATAAATTGGTTAGGTCATTTTGAATTTGTGTTTGAGGAAAACTCGGGCAAGGAAATATCCCGATTGTCGTGACGTCATCGTTTTACAAAATCTCAGTTCTCAAAATGCTTTCCGTCCACACTAAAAACGTGAAGCCGGCGTGTTCAAATTTCTCCCGTTTGAAGAGCGTTTTCGAAAAGCTCCGTTTTCGTGACCGATTAGAGTGAATAGTAGGCCTAACCGTAGAAAGATAGTTGTGTTTTCAAATTTCTGTAGCGTAGTGTGGACAACGACTCAGACAATCACGGTAGGACGAAGTAATTTTGCAAATAGAAAAATAGGTATGATATTGGTATGTTATTTTCGTCGCAGCCGTTACTTTGGTTATAATTAGGTTGGGTTACTTAGGTCGATAGACTACAGAAGATTTTTCAGCAATAAAGAAATTGAACAGGCAAGATTCAATGGAAATGAATATCGTCATCTTTGTTTGCTCCTTTGATGTTTACCTGGCTTCATAACCATTCCCCATTATTAACTATGGTATAATCAACCGAGGATTGCTCCGTTGCAGTTCTTGGTCCATTGGCCACATCGTTCGGGAACCTTTCTCCTGACCAATTATTGCGGAAAAATTACCAGTTAAGATTGATTATTTCCTATCAGAGAGACATGTGCGTGGAATCATTTGTTTAAGTCCTCTGGGCCAATGAAAATCACTGAAAACTTGTGACGGTGTCATGATAAAAGGGGCCTTTTGATGAAAAGATCTCTTGGAAAATGAATAATTTATCGAAAATTATAGATAATAATTAACTTCTTTAACTTACATGGACTGGGTTTATCCTCTGCAGTGAACGTGGCGTTAAATCCTCTGTAATATAAATCAGTGGAAAGATCTGCTCTAAAACGCACCCACATGTAGCGGCCACTAGAACGAATGTCCTCTGGTTTTCTGTATCCACAGAATCTTCCTTTACTATTACTATAACTGGACTTTCCATCTAGAATCTCCACATAATCAACTGTACAACTGGATCTAACGCTTGGCTTCAAATCAAATCTGTCAAACCTGAGTTTCACAATCTTTCCTTCTGGTACAGTGATGAGCCAATCACAACTCGAACCTGGGAGGTAATATTTGGGATCCTGTGGACTTTGTAGAGTACCATATGAGCCACTTAAAGTCAGGTTGTTATTGTAGATGTTCCCCGTGAAACACATCTCCTTAGAAAAGGGAACTATGGAGAAATGTACAGATGTTACAAGTTCAGTTCAGAAAAACACTTCTATTCACTTGACTCCCAAGATGACTTCCGCTAAAGTTGTCGAAACGTCAGTCACTGACAACAGTAAGTGTTCTTTTCAGAACTTAACACTGATCCCACAATACAAACCAGGTCATTAACTCCCAAGAAAAACTAACCATTGGACTAATTAGGCACCTGTCACACTGAAGATCTATATTAATGAAAAGGAAATGCACAAATACATCTCAGAAGAGGGAGCTATGTAGAAATGTGTAAATTTTACAATTTCAGTTCATTAATTCTTTGGAATAACCAACCATTGGGCTAATTAGTATCTCTCACATTCAACTGATAATAATGCAAAGGAGATGCAAGTGTAAGAATATGTCACTCAAACATATATGTAACGAAACAAAGGTGCAACAAATCAATTGAAAACTACCAATTCTTTGGTATTTTTTCCTGCCATGCTTTGCCATTGGAATAAACAAACCACTGACAGGGTCTCGTCTGCTGAAAAATCAGTCTTTATCTTATCAATAGTACTTACTGAGGTCTACAGCTTCAAAATGGGCTTTGAAACCTTTGGCCTGTCGCCAACTGTTCTGGGAGTTGGAATGAAACTTCACCCACATGTACCTTCCGGTGGAGTAAACATCAGAAGAACTACTCGACCCATAGTATCCACAATGAAGAGCAAGTTGTTTACTTTCTTGATCCTGTCCATCACGAACCTGCACATAGTCTTTATTGTTTGTTAGTTGTTCACAACGATAAAAAACTGTTTCAAAATCAAGCTCTTCAAATTTAAGATGCACTCTTTTTCTGGCAGGTACAGAGATGATCCAAATGCAAGTGGCATCATCTGGGTAAGGAACAGGGTAATCAGGGGTAAAGAATGTACCAGAAGAACCACTGAGCCAGTGGACCTTACTACTCCCATATGGAGGATGACATATCCCAGACGCTTCCTCTGAAACAAATAAAAAAAAAACCATTTATTTAATTGCCAGTGGTAAAGAGAGTGTGTGCTGGTGATTACTGTCAGGTTAAAGCTTGACCCTATCATTGGCTCTTTTGATTGGCAGTCCCAGGCTCAACTGGTAATGCAGTAATAGTGATAGTCTGTAGTAATTTAGTTAACGCCTTGACACAGGGAGTGGTTGCCCATTCTGCCGAGCCAGGGGCTCATACCAAAAGTGCTCAGCAAAAATGGAAATACAAAAATACTTAAGTGACAATATGCTATACACGTATTATAATATGGTAAGGTAAAATCTGAGTGTTCTGATTGGTTCTTGGATTTTGCCCATATGGACCATTCCTATGGAAACCGTCATAAGCCATGTATTGCAGCAATAGTGACTTACGTAGTTTAAATACTATGTACTAATCCTTGCTAATCCTTGCAAAGAGAAATCCATGACTCAAGGGCATGAAAATGTACAAAATATACAACGGAGGCAGACAGAGAAATCAATCCATCCAACCCCACAACACCTTGGCCTGATGTGTTAGTGTCTGTATTACAGAGACAGACGAGTAGGACTATTAGACCAAGTGCATTGAGGAATGTCCCTTTTGACCAGTATTGTAATGCTCTAGGGATAGAATATGTTCCATTTCATTGTTGTTGTTGTTGTTAAGGAAGGGAGATGTCATATTACGTCATGCCACGTGCTCCCATCGGGCCTCGGGAGCTTGAGGTAGAACCTCTGGTATCCACCATATTGTCCGCTCATGCTGTCGTGTAGTACCCGTAGCGTTGTTAAATAAAGAACATAGAAGACAATATTGTGAGAGTTTTAAGAAATTAAACAGCTCTAGTGAATAAACTGTAAACGTACCTTCTTTAACAGCTGAAAAACTGAAGCTAAAACCTTTGTCAGTGCCAAAGCTGCTTGTTTGGAACTTGACATACAGGTATTGGCCACTGGAATAAATAACATCTGGATGTGTTGTTCCACAGTATGATCCTAGGAGGCTTGAGCCAGTATTCATACCATCATAAAATTTTAGTCTGTCACCAACACATAGACTTTCCAACTGGATGTCACTGAATATCACCTTCACTATATAGCCATAAAGGCTATTGTCCACTTTAATTAATAATTTACAGTCCAGGTTATTGTCATAATTCGATGGATAGTTGGGACTTGTAACAGTTCTGTTGTAGAATTCAGAAGCAATAACTGTCTGTGACGGTCCAGAAAACCCACAATCTAAAAGGCAAGAGAAAGCTAAGCATTAAAAAATATGTTAGTACCGTAGTACCTGCCTTTATTTCCTCTCAAAACAAACGTTGANCCCCCCCCCCCCCCCCCCCCCACCCAACCACCACCACCACAAGGTGGCAATCTAATTCGGGGGAGAGACGTCACCTTAGTATGAGGTTTTAGACTCGCGTTTTGAACGCCGTCAAGAGGTAGGTTTTCACATAAGTCATTTGCCTCACACTTTATTGCCTTGAATTTTATTTTATCAGTGCCACGTACAAATGCTGAAATGTAATAAAGTAACCCTTTTTCTACAGATTGGTTATACTTTTTAGGCAAAACCAAATAAGCAATTACCTAGACTTTTGTTGCTGTTTGTAGAGAGGAACTGATCCGGAGTGGAAATCCAATATCGCGGCGGCTTAAGTTGAATGTGTGTTTTATGGTCGATACTTTATTTCCATAGAAAGCTACACATGCTAGAGAACCTACTCTTTTGCAAACGTCTAACCTCAAACTGCAGTTAGAAGTTTGCGGTAAACGTGGATCTAAAGATTTCTATTGATCTCGTATTACTCCCCACAGGTACGCAATCCCACTAGAATACGTGGAATAAAATTTATGAATTTTGTCTGGCGCGGCAGATGAACGACGTTTGAATCGCTGCTGTGCCAGAGTTGTGTAGTATGGCAGAGCTTTGCCTAACTTAAGTCAAAAGTTTGATTCAGACGCCGTACTTCTGCCGTGCTTTTGTTGAATATATTCCTGACTTTAGTTCGGCACGGCTGAAGCACGTCTGAACTGGGCCTTAGGGGCCTCAGTTACTTTGTCGAAAGTCGGTCAGTCCGTCCGTCCATCCATCAGACAGTCAGTCGGTCAGTCAGTCTGTCTGCACTGTCCGTCTGTCGGTGTTAGGGACATGGTTTGTTGTTACTTGTGATCGCCCTACCCAAAGGTATTAAATAATTTTTTGGTCATTTATATAAGGTCGGTTGGTCGTTCGTTTGTTACTCTTTGTTTAGCCCTAGTTTTAACTCAGTTGTTCGCAGATTTGTATTGCAAAGGATTTAATTGGGAGCTCTCACTACTCACTACGTACCTTTCAGGCAAATAGAGGAAACATTAAAACCTGCCACCAGAATCATTTTCTTATTAGCGGATTTGTAGATTTCCTTCCTTCAGTTATTTCACGACCTTACTGCTTGGGTTTGAGGCTTAAGGTTCTCTTGTTTGTTGTTGATTGCAAACTAAATATTTCAAGAAACAACGCACCACTTTAGGCTCCAGAAGGCAGCACAGGACAGCTATAGGAAGAAAGTCAGGCTATGAAGAGCAGTTAGAACAGGTAAATTGAATTATTTTGACTGCAAAGTGTCCTTACGGATTAGGGCAACTAGAGATTCGGTCGAAAGGTGTGCAGGTAAACCTTACTCACCGCAACTCTATGTTTATTGTACAAGTTACATGAGAAAGAAAATTTTTAGCAAGAGCTTCAAGCTCTGTTTCATTCGGCTCTATGTTCTTGTAAAAGTTTGCTGTAAGTTTCTTCTGATCTTGGTTTTTTCCTTGGTTTAAGGCTCACGACAATCATTCTAAAACTTCTCGTCGCGGTTGACAGATCAAGAAAAGTAGCTATCACTGACCATATGAAATGTTTCTTCCCTTCCTCTCAGGTCTCAACAGAAGGAGCGGCCTTCACTGATCAGCGTTCTAAACTCTTTGGTAAGTTAATAATTAACTAGACTAAAATTATTTTAGTCTAGTTTGTCGTTTGTCATCCGTGTTAATCTTCTCCATCTTTAACCATCTTTGTACGGGGCCAAAATAACTCAAAATACCGTGACTGAGGTCCTTTAAAAAATCATCCTGTACTGCATCGGCGGGAAAGTGAGGACACTTGAGTCTGTTATTAACTAGCAGTTTACACATTTGTCTCGTAACTTATTGTCCTAAAACAGGAAGCCGCAAGGTGGCAACAGCCTATTGATTCGCTCCTCAATTTCTGTATACTCTGAGGACCGTGTAGGATACATGTATCTGGGAAAGTTTCGCTAGGGTGATCAAAATGGTGTACTCTTCAGTATTCACAGAAACAAAATACCGGAAACAAAAGAGAAAATGTTGGGTTCGTTATCGTATTTCAAAGTATGGTAACTTCAAAACTCGATATAAACTCTTTGATTTGTAATGCAACATTCATTCTATGTTTCTGCTATTCCGAGTTCTCCCCGTTCCACTCAAAGATATCCCAGAGGCGCTTGCGCGGCTGCATTCCCCGCCATCTTGTCACGAATAGCTTTCTAACTGTAGTATTATTTCCTGTCTTCAGAAGAGTGTCCATCCTTACGACAATCCCATCGATGAGGGTCCAAGCTTCTGTGAGGATGATCAATACTACGACAGTATAGACGCCATAATCCTTCGTCCTTTACTGGCCAACGTGGAGGGTGCTGTAGCAAAACTACCTGTCACAGAGATTTAGATGAACTGAAGTATTTGTAATTTGCTAATAGATTATTTTATGTTCCTTGTGGTCAAGTGAAGGTTTCTATAGTCGCTTACAAACGATGTAGCTTTGAATGTGTTGTACATAGAAACGCGACATTTTTTTGTTTTGTTTTGTTTTTTACGGTTAGAGAGGGATTACCTAATGGCGGAGTATGCAGTGCATTGCCCAATTTTAGATTGTAATTTATGCGCAAATTTTGCTAGTATGAGGCAAAGCAAACTGATATGCTAAATGTTTCAGACTTCTCCTTGCAATCAGGAGCAGTATTTTTCAATATACAAGTACATAGACGAAAAATACTATAACCTTCTTCAGCATAAATGCGTACGAATGTAAATGGCGTACGAACGTAAATGAGTGCTTTATAAAGTACTCATTTACATTCCTACGCCATTTATGCTGAAGAAGGTTATAGTATTTTTTAACGGAAACGTTCGCACAAAAACGTTGTTAGTCAGTGTCAACAATTTTTAATTCTTACTGTTATCATGCTTTACTGCAACTACGGCATTTTTATGTACATAGATCTTTTATAGGAATTTTTTACAGTAAAAGTCAGTTTCTAATTTAGGCGGAAACTAAAATACTGAATCGAAGTGGCGTGACTGGCAATAAGCCAGCAAAATCAAAATAATTTTAACAGTGCGTTGATGCCGAGGAGGAGAAACTTATTAAGGCATGTTAAAGGGTGAATGAGCTGATATTTTTTTTAAAGAAATAAAATATTAATATTAATAATAATAATAATAATAATAATAATAATAATAACAATAATAAAATAATAATAATGCATTGCGAAAGGTTCTACGATTCGATTTTTTTATACAGAATCCTATAATAATAATAATAATAATAA